ATGGGACTACTGCCGCGCGTGGTAGGCTACCCTGCCCACACCCATTGCATAGTAAAAGCGTGAAGTCATTTTGAGAAGAGGATGTAGATGAACTCCGACCGTCCTCCACCTGACAGCTTGGTGTAACATGGATGGCTCGGCTCCGAGCCGAGGTGACCGGCTCGTAAATTATCTTGTTTAAACTTCCTATAAATAGAACCTGTGATGCTTGTAAAAAGGCAAAAAAACTTACCTATAATGAGGATATCACTGTTTTGCTATCCCTGTTACATGAAAGTTTCCCTCGTAAAAAGGGATCCTTTTCTTTTCTCTCTCTTTTGTGAAATCTTAAAAGAATAATATACAAGGAATACACAAAGAAGGCCTTGTTCCTTATCCTTGTTTTTATGCCAAAGTAAACTTGACACCACGAACCAATTCTCTCCAGCTTCTCACCTAGGAAATTGCATTAAGTGTTTATATTTTCATACGTTAGCCACAGGATATTTGTGGTTTAAAATAAAACATTCCAGATCGTTTAATTTGAAGCTTATATCGTCCAAACTTTTCATGAACTGCATTACTGAAGTTACAATCCGGAAATCTATCCTGGTTACTCTAGCCACGTTAGTCTTCGCATTGTTATCGTAGAATTCTGTGACAAAGAATCATTATACAATTTAATTACCTAATTGACAAGAGTATGCAATACCACAAAACACTCAGACATTTTTTGAATACAATCTATAATCTAAACTACAAAGAAGAGGAGATTTATCACACACATGCTACCAAGGTCTACAAGTCAATGTCCTTTTTTCACTAAATGAGAGCCCATTGGCACAAACCACAAAGACATTAAATATTAAGATTAACTACATAAAACTCCCTATATTTTAGGCATTTTTCAAGTTCATACACGATTTGTTGGACATTTACAAGGGAGAAGGATGGTGTATGAGTTGGCTGTCGGGGTTGTGGGGAGGGTGGGTGTTGCTGCGTTTGGGGATGGAGGGTGGGGATTGCTGCGTTTTTATTTTATAAAAAAAACTTCATTAGTTTGTTGGTGTGGCATATATGTGGAGCCCTCATCTTCAAAAATATAGTATCATATGTATTTAAAATACAATATATATTTTTAAATATTATAAAAAACAAAAACAAAATTTTATGAATTTTAAATTAAAAAATTAAAAAAATTTGCAGGGACCATTTGTGATAGATGTGTTAACCTCAGGGATGTTTTGTGATATGTATATATGCCACGTCAGCAAACTAACGGAGTTTTTGACGGAACCTAACGGCAGGGACCATTTGTGATCACACATACTAACCTTGAGGACCATAAGTGACACAAAAAAACATTAAGGATGCAATCTGATAGTTTCGTAAACCTTAGGGACCTTTTGTGATAATAAGCCTTAAACAAGTATACAAACCTAGTTCGTCTCCAATAAGAAATTCATACTGTAAAGCCCTAACGGTGTAGAAGTTCAATGTTGGAGGTACAGTCCAAGTTCCAACCAATGTTCTCTCCTACTTGATATGCTTTAGATTCTAGTGTAGGCATCAATATTGTTGTCATTGCCACAACTATAATAAAACTCACAGCTTTCATACCTAGTGTTTAAAAATTTGTAATTAAGGTTTCTTAACTCCATTTTCAAAATTTATAGAGAACCTTTTGCAGTTTACACTACTTGAAAAGATGTGTAAAAGATGTGCAAATTATAACTTTTAGGTTTTTTCAAGGCCATCATTGAAAATTATATATTAATACATATGACTGAATTCATACAACCGTATTTATTACAAAAGTTTTAAACCATTAGATTAGCACATTTCTAATGAATGTGATTGGATCTCACAATTATGTATTATTTATTATCTGTTTGTGAATTATGTTGTTTTGACACAAATCTCATTACCATTTGCTTCCAATTAATTGTTATATTTGAAATCCCTAATCACTTCATCAAGTAAAGATCGCGCCACACATGATATGCATATGTGAGGTTACAGTGCATGAACTTTTCCTTGTTTATTCTAGGCTCTAGCTGTGTTAGTCTTTCCATTACGATCGTAGAAATCTGTAAAAAGATTTACGAACTTGCCTAAAATATGATGGAATTATGAAATAGCACAAATAATAGAAAGTGATCAATGAAACGAGGCATGATGGAGTGAGGTTTACCAGCCCGACATGGTAAACAAGGACACAAAGAGTACATATAAAGTAGGGGTCTTTTATTATATATAGGCCCATTTCATGCTAAAAGTGTTGAAAAAAAAATCCTTGTATTGAACTTATTGAATCGATGCGCAATTTGCATGTATTACTTATTTTATGTGGCTATTTTACCATTGAAGGTAAATAATGGAAACAAATTAAAAGTCCTTAATTTTAGCCATTGTAACGCTTAAATTTTGAATTTGACCTTTAAACATTGTTCGGGTAAAAAACATAACTCATATTGACTAAATCAAAGTTGACATAAATTAATCTACTTAACCAAAAGGTCAAAATGAAGAACAGAGATTTACATGTCGAGACACGAGTAGAAATATAAAATGTGTTACCTTATTAATAGGAAGACAACATAAATTAATATACCTACATATGCAGAAAACTCACAAACCATATTCCCAGCTCATGTTGAGGCATTGGCTGCACGTAGTTTTTTACGGATATGTATCTGGGGGGGCGATGAGTTCTCTATCAGGGGCAATGTTCCTTTTTCCACTTGTGGTTGAGAGGGTAGGCTACATAGCCTGATTTTATTTGTGATCATCATATCAATAAAATACTATCATGTACCTAAAAAAAAGATTGGTTAAAGACTTCTAATCTTAGTCATTGTATGAATAGTTGAGATTAAAAATTCTTATTGGATAAGCTCCCGTTCTTAGAATCTCTTTCCGAAACATCGTTTCCTTGTTATTTAATGTATGGAGTCCCATTCTCTTGAACCCTATGGTTCAAGGAACTTGTGGTCACTCACCCTTAGATTAGATTTACGGGTTCACAAAAATCTATTTAAAAATAAATTTTATTTTACTTTTACTGCATAAGATATTAATTTAATTTAACCAAAAATTAAAAGTTAAAAAAGAAATAATAACACTTCACTCAAACAACACGTTCAGAGCAGAAAAAAATCAGGAATTGGTTCTTCCTTCCATCGGTGCCACAGCAACTCCAATGCCATCGCCGCCACAGTAACCCTGACTCTGTCGTCAACGTGAAAATCCAAATCCACCCATCCCCTCGCAATTTAACGTGATTGATATGTAATAAACAAAGGGAAAACTATAATTAAAGAAACAAATGAATGAAGGTCTGCAAAAATAAATAAATTCAGATGATGTAATTGCAGGATGCCCACCCATGACCGCTTCCTGTTCACGTGTTAACCGCTTCTTGATGGTAAAAGATTCATGAAAATCATGTTAACTAGTAAATGAGGAGGAAACCCAATTGTAGAAACCGAAAAAGTGAAAGAGCCAAATTAGAAAAACTATTTAGGTCTGCCCAAAAAAATAATAATAATAAAAAAATCAAATTATGCCTTTGCATTCAACTGATTATGGGTGGCTCGAGTAACATCATATCATCAGATGGTCGTCTACGAAGTCGGAATCGGAGGTGCTGTGGCGGCGATGGGAGGAAGAATACGTTCATGATTTTCTCCTCTAAACGCGTTTTTGTTCCAGTGAACTTTTATTATTTATTTTTTAAAGTTCAGTTTTTAATTAAGTTAAATTAATATCTTGATTTTTAACTAGTTTTTTCTGAACACTTATTATATCCAAGAGTTGGTGACCACAAGTCCCTTGGACCACAGAGGTCCTGGCTAACGGACTGTTAATGTATGATTATATTGTATGATGATTTTTTTTAGTTTTTTCAACCAAAAAAAGTTATAATTACCTTTGGGCCCAAAACAGATTCATTGGCGGGGCTTTACAAAAAAGTAGCCCATGTTTGTTTTCACTCGGTTCTAATTTTAAATGGGACTGTTAATATTGGCCCCACCAAAAACACCTCCTTAGGTGTTCTTAGTTAATCCCGCTTGGAAAGGGCGGACCAGACATAAACCACCCAAGCGCTAGCCAACAAAAACCAAATCGCTTGCAAAAACCAAAGCGCCTACAACCACCCAAGCGCTAGCCAACAAACAACCACCCAAGCGCCATCCATAACCACTGATCACCCAAGCACTTGCAACCGATCCAAACCCCCACAGTCACAGCCATACGCAGCAACCCCAATCCACCATCACAGCCACACGGTTCTAGTCAGTTTCGATGAGCACCGTACGTTTGACTTCCATTCAAAACTCAGATAATAAGAAAATCCACAATTGCAGCCATATTATTTCGGTACGCACCAATGGCAGACAACGAGGACTTCATAGCTTGGGGTTGCAGGAGACGGCGACAGCCTCTTGAGCAGAGGGAGAAAAGGAGAAGAAGAAAATACCGTAAAATAGGAAAAGGAGAGAAAATTTTCGAGCAAAAAAAGGCACAGATAAAAAAAGACTGAGAATAAGTGGAGAATGAGACGATGACCACCACTGTGCTAGGAAGGAGGAGCACATAGTAGCAAGGCGGTGCGCAGGAGAAAGAAAAAGAAAGAGACTCTGAAAAAAGAAAAGTTTTATATGAGAATAATAAAAAAATTCACATTCCCCAAAAAAATAAAAATAAAAATCATATTTTTCAAAAAAAAACAAAAATACAAACTTACCTTTAAATTAAAAAACAATTAGTCCTAGTCCCATCAAACTTACATAAAATGCAATACAAATGCAGTCTATGTCAATCCGCCGTACCAAACTAGCCCGAAACGTTTTGAAACCACAGCCAGAGCCCAAGATTGACGTGGTGTTCGTTTAGCCTCTTAGTCAATAGTTAACAGTTCAACAAAAAGATTCTTTTTTTTTTTTGGTCAATCAAAACGATTCTTTGAACAAAAAACAAAACAAAAATAAAATGATTCCAATAACATCATCCCACGTGTCAAATCACATTAATCAAATTTACTAGTCGCTTTTACTTTACGCTTCTCTCGCACCCACCTGAGCTGACCCTCCAGCTGACCCTTCAGCCGCAACAGCTCTCCAGGAACCAGTTCAGTTCCTCAAACAGCAAACATGGCAAAGCCCAAATACTCCCATCTTTCTCTTTCTCTCTTCCTCATCATCACCATCATCACTTCATCTCCACTGTCACTTGCATCACGACCGTCCAATTTCCCCTCCTCCAGATGGGCCCCACGCTTCCTGGGCAAGTTCTCAAGCTCTTCACCACCAAAACAACCTCAACCACCGAAACAACAACAACAGCAACCAAAAATCCGATACGAAACCCGATATTTCGCTCAGCGTCTCGACCATTTCAGCTTCTCGGATTCCCCGAGGTTCCAACAGCGGTACCTCATCAACACCGAGCACTGGGTGGGCCCACAGAGACTGGGCCCCATCTTCTTCTACTGCGGCAACGAAGGTGGCATCGAATGGTTCGCCAAAAACACCGGCTTCGTCTGGGAAGTCGCCCCACAATTTGGAGCTATGATCCTCTTTCCCGAAGTAAGTTTGTGTTTGGTTCCCGAGAAAATTACAAAAGAAAAAAAAGTCAAAGACCAAAAATTAATTTGCTTTCTGAATTTGGCAGCACCGGTACTATGGAGAGTCCATGCCGTATGGGAATAAAGACGAGGCGTATAAGAATGCCAGTACGCTGTCGTTTCTCACGGCCGAGCAAGCCCTGGCCGATTTTGCCGTATTAATCACGGAGCTCAAGCGAAATTTGTCGGCGGAAGGTTGCCCCGTCGTGCTTTTCGGTGGATCCTATGGCGGAAGTAAGTAAATTTGTAATGCTCTGTTTTGGTGAAAGTTGCTGTTATTTTGGATTTTGGTGAAATTATAAAAATGTGTGATATATTCATTCAATTGCATTGATTGTGTAGAATTAGCACAAATAAGCAAATGGTCTCTTTGGTGGGATGCCCTTTTTATGCTTTAATTTTGAAAACAGTGTTAGCAGCCTGGATGAGGCTTAAGTATCCTCACATTGCAATTGGTGCACTTGCTTCTTCGGCGCCAATTCTTCAATTCGAAGATATTGTGCCACCAGAAACGTTTTACGATATCGTTTCTAATGATTTCAGGGTAACTTGTGTTTTTCTTTTCCCTTAGTTTTCATGGTGTATGAGTTTTTTGGTGACGTATTATAACCTCCATCTTATATCCCTAGCGCGAAAGCAGCAGCTGCTTTAACACTATAAAAGAGTCCTGGGATGCATTGGTAACCGAGGGTAAGAAGCAAAATGGCCTTCGCCAGCTGACAAAAACTTTCCATTTATGTCGGTAAGGAATCTGTGCAATTTACTGCATTTTCTTTTATCCTCCCAGTGGTGAATGGAAATGGTCTTTCTTCACTGGCCACTGAGTTTCAGCTGATTAAAGCCATTTTTCAGGGAACTAAGTAGTACCGATGATCTTGCAAATTGGTTGGACTCCGCGTATAGTTATTTGGCAATGGTGAACTACCCATATGCTGCTGACTTTGTAATGCCTTTGCCAGGACACCCGATAAGAGAGGTTAGTTCATAGTGAGTATACTGTGTTTATTCCTTTTTTCCGCATACCAGGGTGTCTTCTGCGTATCTATTTCAAGTATAATATTCTGTCTCAAATAATGTAGAAAGTTAGGTTCTGTGCTATTTATTTCTGTTTTGATGATTAAATAATTTCTCTCATTGGTTTATGTTTTCTTCAACTGCAATGCCATGACAAAAAAAAAAGTTTTTCCCAATTAAGGTGTTTGCCAATAATTGCCACTTCCAGTATAGTCTGTCGCTAGCTTTTGTTATTTGTATCTTATCTTAGGTATTAAGACCAGAAATTAGTCTTCCCTGTTGGGGTTGTGTTGCTTTTGAATACATGTATAGCAAGATTTCTGCAATGGTTTTTGCTTCTGCTGCAAATCAAAATAGTCATTTAGCTCTTGTAGTAGGTTTGCAGAAAGATTGATGGTTGTCCTGATGGGACTAGCACACTGGAGCGCATATTTGAAGGTGTAAGCATATTCTACAATTACACTGGACAAGCTAAATGCTTTGAGCTGGAAGATGAATCCGACGTTGGCACGGATGGGTGGAATTGGCAGGTCTATCAGTGTTACAGTGATAGTATTTTCTTTTTTAAATTAACATATGGTTGAAATTAAGTACTCATAAATTCCTGTAATAGAATGTCTTCTGTTATTTCCTTTCTTTTATACAGGCTTGCACAGAGATGGTTATGCCCATGTCTAGTAGCCGGAATGCAAGCATGTTTCAAACCTATGATTTTAATCTCTCTTCTTTTCAAGAGGAGTGCTGGAAGGATTACAATGTGAAACCAAGGCCTACATGGATCACAACAGAATTTGGTGGGCATGTAAGAGGATGATGTGTTATGAATTCATTTATCCTTTCCACTTCAAAGTATATTTCCATTTGATCATTTGATCATCCCCGTTGCTAAATATTAATTACTTAGTGTGAAATAGTGTCTATGTGTACTGGTTCATTGCATGATGATCTTATTTCTCTCCCTTATTCATCCTATCTTTTCCTTGGTTTGATAGTTGATAGTGTTTGGTAGACATCCTATTATTACATCACATAATTATCTTAGTATTTGTGTAACCTCCTATGAGTTAATAGAGGATGATTTTTCTTTCAAAATAAATCTGCTGCAATGTACTGGTCTGGCCATATATTTTGATCAAAATAAATTTGAACACTTTGGGTATAATTTAGATTACTTTTGTCACTTACCATGCAAGTGAAACCATTAACCTCCGATCTTATAGTGTTTCAAAGTAGTTGTTTTCACATTTGTTACAACTTCAATCTTTGAAATTTCGAAATTGAACATTTGAAGCAACTACTTCCTAGAATGTGGGTAACAACAGCATGTATCTCTAGCTACTTTTTCCTGTTCATTGGTGCTGACATAATCATATGATTCATACCTTCTCAAATTGTATAGTTTGATACTGATACTCTTGGGCATTAAATTTGAAGGATATTAAGGCCACCTTGAAATCGTTTGGAAGCAATATCATTTTCTCCAATGGCTTATTGGATCCATGGAGTGGTGGCAGGTAACTGTTCTTTTTATTTGATTCAACAACTAGTGCCATCAAAAGTTCATTATTTGAGTTCTAATGGCTGTTAATGATATCTATCACAGTGTCCTGCAGAATGTATCAGAAACTGTCATTGCTCTTGTTACCGAAGAAGGTATCTTCTACTCTAAACAGTTGGAGCCAACCATAGATCTGTTTTATAGTTGTCATCTGAGAGCAGAGCACTCAGAAAAAGAAAAAATTGCTTGGAAGCCATTAACTGCTCATTTATTTTGTTTTTTGATTATCAGGTGCCCACCACATAGATTTGCGATTCTCAAAGAAAGAAGATCCTGAATGGTTGGTAGAGCAAAGGGCAACTGAAATTAAGCTGATAGAGGGGTGGTTGGAGAAATTCTATCAAGAAAGTAAATCAAAATTTGACATGTAGAGGTCTCTAAATTTGCATGTGTAAATTCCCAGTCATCGTTTTTTGTGTGTTTTCACTGCTACCACCACCAAATTTACAACACTTGGGTGTATATATTGAGTTCTCCTTCGAAGGATGCTCTCATTTTAAGAAATGGAAGGACAAATTTGCTGGTACGTTGGCCTCACATGGCCTTGGCCCTAGCTTCCGTTTGTTTTTTATTTTTGGGTAAATGTGGATTCAGCCAATTAGTCAAGGCAGTGCGCCATTTTAGCATTGTCATGATTATTTTCTCTGTCCTTGGACTTGTCATGACATTGATAACATATACTTCATCATTATGATATGAAATAACATATGCTTAAAAGTACACATTTTGTTTAAGCCAATGTATCCACTCAAATTCCATCATAGGGATAAAGTTTCGAGATTAGGAATTGTATGTCATTAAAGGAAAATACTTGTCTCCTACCTTGGAAATAGGAGCTCTTACTTTCCTGCCAATCACAGGTTGAAATATGAGTAGAGATTTTTCTTTTGGTGTTTTTGATGAATTATTTTTGTATATGTGTCAAACTATGATTTGCAAGAAGTAAGAATGTGGAGGGAATGAGGGAAGCAGTGTCCGTTATTAAATGAGACTCTTTATAGAAACAGCTAATTTTTGTCCCCGGCCTCAATTCTTCTCATTCGTGCTAAAAGGGCCAGGATATCTGAATTGAAACTCATATCGTCCGTACCACTTGGTATAGGCCGACTCTAGCCACGCCAAGCTTTGGTAGCTTATTATTGTAGAAATCTGTCGGAAAGAATCATCGTATAAGCTAATTAACAACAATAGCGAAAATAGTAAGCATAACAAATATTAATTAACAGAAGAAAGGCATCAATCAAACCTTAATAATACTCAGTCATTTTGTTTTTTCATAACTAGAGAAGTTTTGCATACCTAAGACGTCTCCAACAACAAATTTATATTGTGAAGCCCAAACATTAAAAAAGTCCCAAGCCGGAGGTATAGCCCAACCAAACTTTACGTAGCCAGAAGAAGTAGTGTTGTCACGACCACAGCTATAACAAAAATTGGCAATTTCGTCATTTGCTCTCCTATCTTGTATTGGAAATTGGTAATTACGTAAAGTTTCCAACTTTATTTCCCAAATTTATAGAGAGAGAACCTCCATCGTTTACAGGTGGGTAATTACTGACAATTCGGTTCAATTACGTGTCGTATCTTTATTTTGGTTGATATCATTTTAGATAGTTCTAGCTTTTATCTATTTTCAAGGGATGTGGGGTAAATATACTCTTTATCATCAACCAACAACTAGTGCACATGGGTTTTTATATTATAGTTTTGAACTTTTTGTGAAACAAGCTCCCCTCTCTCTAATCCAAAAGTATTTTGATGGCAAACGAGATCTAACTTAATGAAAAAAGCTTTAATTTGCATACCAGAGATCTTAGGTTTGAATCTCCACAGTCTCCTGCACATGTGACGAATTTTGAAGCATAACATGTGGACTACACATATTGAGTGACGTGAAGCATGTGTGGTCGTTGGGCTTTCACACGTGGGCAATCCGCTATGATACCATGAAGGAAGTTACTAAGTAATAAGGAAGATGTCAGGTTGCATTGGGTTTGGATTTAGCTGGTGTGGCACTATGGGTTTAGTCAGTATGGCGCTATGTCTCTCTTCGGGTTGCTCGAGATGATGTGGAGTGATTGTCCTGCTTTTTGGTTTGTTTAAGTTTAATAATTCTCAAGAGTTTGTTGTGGTTTATCTTATCTTTAGATTGATTTATTTCTATTTAGCTTTGGCTTTCGATACAGATTTGTCGTTTCTGCCGTTGTGATGTTGTTTCCCTCTTTTCGGCTGAGGTGGTCGACGGAAGGAGCTTTTGGTCATTCTTTTCTTGAGTTGCGTAGGCGTGCTACCACTAAGCCACCGAATGGCTTAGATGGAAAAGGTTAGATGGATTTGTTGTGCTTCCGACTTTTGATCAAGTGATTGATCGGCCAAGCAAGGAACCTTCTCTTAGCTTAGGTTCTATCACTTCCTCGGGCTCGAGGATGGTTAGGCTTTGTATGGATGTTTTTGTAATTTTGGGTTTTTTTTTTAGTAAAATGGTGCAATTAAATTAAATATGTGTTTTAAACTTAAATACAAGAATTAAAGTGTGATAAAATAGATCAAAGCGATAAATAAACATAAAATAAAGCAAGAACGAAATAAGAACGATAAACTAAATTAAAACTAGAAATTAAACTTAATGAAAATTTGATAACAATGAAATGTAGAGGAATTGAAATAAACTTAAATTTAAAAGACAAGAAAATGTAAATTGAACAAGAATTTAAATTTACACTAAGAAAATGAAGAACTAGCTACACTAGGTTCTTGAAAAGTAAAATCCTAAATCTAGGAAAAGAAAAGTGCGAGATGAAAAATAGGTTTGTTTGTCCCATGGGTTGGCCATTAAATGGCCCGAGGTAAGCTCCTTTGAAATTCCTTCCTTTTGAAACCTCCTAAATCCGTGGGATCACATTGATAAAGATTTTCTAATTGCTTGATTCTTTCTTGATTTGGAATACTTCGAATTGTCATCAATTTTCTTGATTTCTTTCTGTGTGAGGCCTCCGTCATGTGCATGTAATCCTCCGGAAATCTTGGGTTTGAATCCGTAACTTGGGCTTGGACCTTCAAATCTCTAGTTTAACATATGACAAAACCTCGTGACCTTTGAATTCCTAGAATTCTAGAGTTTGTTGACAATCCACCAAGGTGGGTGGTATGGGAACTCCAAATATTTGGATGTCTATTAGGAGGCCATGGAGTGGCCTGCATGCGTATATGTGTGAGGACAAATTGGTAGCATGAAAAGTTCTTTGAACCAAAAGATGGTTTGAATTATTACTATTATCTTTTCTACAAATGAGGAATGAGAATTTGTAGACATTGACTTAGCTAATTTGGCTAGAGCAGATGTGCTTTCTACTCTGTACTCGAGTTCGAATCTCTCTTCCCGTAGTTTAGATTAGATTAAAGTAGATGATCACTTGTATAAAAAAAAAAAAATTGAGGAATGAGAATTTGAACTAAGGATCTCTTTTACCATTAACAAGAGAAATGATACTAAACAAAACATTAAATTATAGTTATTGGTTGAGTTTGCACTGTTAATTTGGTGCAATCATGTCTTCCTTTATGTTAATTTGATTAGTATAATTTTAGAATGGGATGCCACAGTTGAGTCGTATTGAGTTTTTTTTATGTTTAGAGTATCTCCAACAACCTCTTTAACAATTTTGGAATTCTAAAATACGTGAGCCACATCAGGAAAACTGTCTCTAATAGCCTCTTCAACCAACCTTAGTTATCAAAGCTGCGACCTCTTTCTCTCTCTTCAGGACAGGTAAGTTGACTTGCCTCTTCAAACATTTAATTTTACTTTGGAAAAACAAAACCTACCTTGAAAATCTTAAAAACATGCATTTTTTCTTTTCATATAATAAATACATAGACATTTTTCACATGTTTTCATATTTTTCATTCTTTTCCATGATACTGCATTAATTGAATTGAAGAGTCTATTGGAGCAAAAATTATTCAAGTAGCAAATAAGGTTTTTCAAATTACCACATTTTTTCTTTTCATATAATAAATTCATAGACATTTTTCACATGTTTTCATATTTTTCATTCTTTTCCATGATATTGCATTAATTGAATTGAAGAGTCTATTGGAGCAAAAATTATTCAAGTAGCAAATAAGGTTTTTCAAATTACCGCGTAGGTCAACAAACTTCAATTTGAAGAATTTTATTTGCTACTACTATTGTAGATGCTCTTATCATTTTTCACTTTGTTAAAGGGATACTCAAATTTCTTTAACATTACCATAAAATGTATTTTATGCTTAATATGACCATAAACGAATAGCCATTTATCTCAAAAGACAACTTTGCACGTAAAATAGAAACACCAATTTGAGCCTCAACACCTTTGTTTAATTAATAAAATTGTCAGCAAGCTCTTTACAGTGTTGCCCTCCAAGCATATAACGGTACTCTGAATAGAATCTCAGCATATCATGGCCTTGAAAAAATTGTCATAGGCAACGATATCTAGGTTTTACAATCAGACACTCCTGGTTTTCATCATTTTCTAGTCTTAATTCTGCTTTTAAATTCAATAATTAACATTCTACATGTACAAAAAAACATTTAATATTAATTTTCTAATGCCCAAGTTCGAATAAAATCGATAAAATACTGACAAATGATAGTAGTATTTGAATATGTAGGATATAGCATCAACTTAGACCATAACACTTAGAACAACTTATACTCAAATACACAAATTTCATGTCTTCCACTAGGAGAAGAAGTTTTGACGGCATTTAAAGTAATTAATTAATGTAATTAAACCGAGTTTAGGAACGACTTTTGGACGCGAACAGCTAATTCTCAAAATCTATCTTGTTGATTCTAACCAACTTAGCCTTTGCGTTTCTATCGTAGAAATCTGTGAAAATAACAATTCCATTAGATTAATTAGAATATCGTTTTATCAACAATTAATAACAAAAAATGCAAATTCTGTATTACATATATACAAATTGTGATACGTAGAATTAAATAATTAATCATGTCATAAATACTGTGAGGATGTGACACGGTATAACTTGTATTATTAATATAATATTTATTGATATATATGTTATACTCTAAAAGTGAGAAAATCTCAACTCCATCGTCCTTTCATATTATAACACGTAGATGATTTTTATACCACGTAACTGTAATACCATACAATAATTTATCCATGGCCAGGGTTTGCTGCCTAATTTTGTATCCCCATAACCTAATTAAACTGGACTTAATTGAGAAATATAATTACGTTAATTTGTTATAACTCACTAATGTTGTTAAACAAATTAGCTAAATCTTGATATAATGTAAACCAATACGTAGGCTCATTCAGAAATGTCTTCTCCTTATTAAGATGTACGAAACAAATTATTAGTTATTCCGTTATCTCTCATTGTTACACACATCTCAAGCACCTTGAGAGGCTTCTGATCAGCTTATTTATATAATACGCAAACCCCTGCAAAGAGCACCATTAATTCCAAAAGAACAACAAGCTCAATGGGAAGCATATCGAAGTTCTTATTAGCTTTTCTATGCATCAACATATGGCTGCAAGCCACAGAAGCTCTTCGTCATCAATTCCGCGTTGAAACCGCAAATGCACATGACTTTTTGAGGGTTCACAACAATGCACGAAAGAAAATAGGACTTCCGCCATTGGAGTGGGACGAAAAGCTGGCAGAATTTGCTCGGTTCTATGCCAACCTGAGAGCGGTTTCGGGGTGCGGGATGATCCACTCGAACGGGCCCTACGGCGAAAACATCTTCTGGGGCGGCGGGAAGCAGCCGTGGGGCGGGAGGTTCGCGGTGAAGTCGTGGTCTCATGAGAAGAAGTTTTATAATCACAAGACCAATAGTTGCATCCCTGGGCAAATGTGTGGGCATTATACGCAGATTGTGTGGAAGGACACAAAGCGTGTGGGCTGTGCTCGTGCTGCATGCACAAATGGAGGAGGGCAGCTCATCATATGCAACTATGATCCTCCAGGGAATTGGCTTGGAGAGAAGCCCTATTAGACGTGATTAAGATTTGCACGCAGTTCAACTTATAATTAATTGGGTTAATTATTGTGTCATTACCAATAATCTTTTAAGAGTTAATTATTACAAGGAGATGATTGAGATGGTGTGCTTTGTGTATGAGATCTTTGCACTTTCATTGCTAGGAAGAATGAAAAATAATATGTAAAAAAGTTTACGAAGTAAATCAAAATTGGCCTCACAATCGAAGTGCCGAATAAAACTACAATTATATATTGCCATGCTTGCAGTACTATTTATATACACAATTCAATTAGTGGTTTTGCTGTGAACAAGGGGTAGCAGATTCTAGAGGCAGAAATAAAATCTTGGGTTTTATTTTTTGGTATTTTGAGCTATGTAGTGGATAGAGGAATCATAAATCTCATTGTTGAAATATATCATCTAGCTGCTGTGATTGATTGACCAGATTGGCAATTGTGATGTTCACCATATTTACAAAGTAATGTTTTTGTGTTTATACCAAAAATCTAGTCACTGAGTTTTCAATTTCATCAATTTGATACCAAATGTTAACAATTTTAGTCATTTCCGTCAATTTTTTTAATATTAAAAATATTAAATAATTCATTTATATTTTATAAATATATAAATATAATTATTTTAAAATTTTATAAAATCATTTTAATAATAAAATAAGGTCATTTAAAAGAAACACACAGTCCGACACCACGAGAAATTATAGAATACTACGGTACTCTAGCACCACACCTCCCACTGCTCCCACTCCCTCCACAACACAACCCTTCCCCTTCGCCAAATGCAACCCCATACCCAATCGCCACTTTGAAATCCCCATGCACCCGAACCAAAATTTAAAACAAGAAGAAACAAAATTCTTAAACAGCAAACACAAAATAATTAAGGGGATTGGTGGTTGGGGTGATGATTGACCAATCTTCCCCAATGCCCCAATCTCTCCCTACCTTTTTTCATTTTTGTATTTTAAAAAATTATTGTTTTAGGGTTAATCATTTTATTAGTCTCTAAATTTAGACCCGATTTACATTTGAGTACTTCAATTTCCAAAATGATTCTCGTAGTCCTTTAACTCAAGTTTCGTTAGGACAAATGGTCATGCAACCAATTTTGTTAACTTTTCCGTTAAATGCAGGGGTAAAATGGTAATTTTTTTAAAATCAAAATTGATTAAAATATGAATAAAAAATTAAAATTAAACTCTCTCTCTTCCCCTCTATCCCGATTTCTACTCCCCCCAAACTTGATTTTTCTTTTTTTGTTGGTTTTTTATTTGATTTGATTTTATTGTTATTTTAAAGATATGATTTTTTATTCATTTTTTTTTTGTTTTAATATAAAAATATCATTTTGCCCTTGTATTTAACAAAAAAAGTTAACAAAATTGACGGCAAGACCATTTATCCTAAGAAAGTGAAGTTAAAGGACCACAGGAATCATTTAGGTACTCAAATGCAAATTGGGTCTAAATTCAGGGACTAATAAAACGATTAACCCTATTGTTTTAATATCTATATATATAACAAAAGGCAGAGAATGTTAAAACATTCAAAATACCAGAAAATACCCTTGGTTAATGCAAACATTAAGAATTGAAATTATTAATTAAATGAGGATAATATGGTAAATTCACACTTTTTCATATTAAAAAAATTTAAAATTAAAAGCAAAATCAGATAATGAATCCTATCTTTTTTAATTCTAAAATAAATTTAAATTTGTTTTTAAAAAAAATGGAAGCTCGTGCAAAGAGGCTAATATATATAATAGAAGAAGGTTTTGAAAGGGAAACATTTAAAATCTCTGAAAATACCCTTAATTAACTAGAAATCTCAAAAAATAACGTGTAATATAGTTATGGTAAAATAGTAAAACAATATAACTAAAAATAGTTATGAAAAGAAAAATAGGATAATTATAACAGGTTCAACCGTGTTCACCCACATTCCTTTTTGCTGTTTCCTTTTCAAAAAAAATTATTCAATTTGTTAAATTATAAAATAAAATAAAAAGGGCAATTGGCACACATATTATGCATTAAATATAATTGCTTAATGAATATCTTAATATTTTTTGGTATAAAATTGATGAAATGGCTTAAATTGTTAATGTTTTGCAACTAGTGACAAAATTGATGAAATTAAAACCCTAGAGATTTAAAATAAGTTTTAGGTATAAACACATTGACCAAAAATGTATTTAACCCAAATACAAATTGTTGGTGCGAGAAACTAGATGACTAGTAGTGGGTCCAAATTAAATATAAGGTGGTGATTTGATCTGCCTTCAATAAGCACTTTCCTTCGTTGTCTTTGCATGATAGTAGATCACAACATGAACAAGCGGCACCTACATCATCTACATCTTGCACTTCAACATTTAGTAGAAAAAGAAGTCGTGTGGATGACCTTTGTGATTCTAAAAGGTTAAACACAAGCAATTTTTCATCTAATGAATTATCACGCTATCTTGATTCACACACAGAAATGGATGATGATGAAAATAATCCTTTAAATATTTTGGTATGGTGGAAATCACATCAAAAAAATTACCCTATGCTTTCCACCAGAGCTCGTGATATTTTAACCATTCCAGTGTCTTCAGTTGGTTCTAAATCAACTTTTAGCAAAGGTGGACGTGTTATAAGTGACCATCGAGCAAGTTTGGCTCCAAATAGTGTTGAAGCGTGCATTTGTGGAAGTGATTGGATTAAACAAGAAAAAAAGAAAGTCAAGAAGAAAATGATTGTACAAGATGAACAAGAATGGCCGGAGTGGTTTGTCCAAGATGCAGAATAAATATTCTCATTTTTATTGTTCTGTAGTCTACTTCAGTTTTGTAGTCTATTTCAATTTTCAATGTGTTGTTGTTATTATATAATTTATGGATGAAGTTTTCAAACATAAAAAACAAATGAAGTTGAATAAAGCATAAAATAATGGCCCATTTCATAGGGCTAAATAGGCCCGAATCATTGGCCCGATCATAAGCCCGAAAATGTTAGGCCCATGGGTAGGCCCTGGACTTTGTATATTTGACATAGGGCTAGCCCGGCCCAGCCCAATCACTCCTTAGGACTGAAAAGGCCCGTTACTAATTAGGGCATGGGCTCACACCTCTTAGGGCCAGGCTGGCCCGGCCCGGCCTATTTTCCAGGCCTAGTCCAAACCATGCACTGATATTTACTAACACCTTACCCATTTAAGTCCAATATTTCCGGTGGTGTTATACCCAATACACCTCTAGATGTGAGGTTTTAACTTAAAAGACATCATTGCAATTAGTAGTGGACAACCTACATCAACATAACTCTACACTTTAGAGTTCGATTCTAAGAGCATCTTCAATAGCCTCTTCAAACACTTTGGGATACTCAAATAGGTGAGCCACATCATAAAAAATCTCTCCAACTGCCTTATCAAACTCAGTCATCAAAGCTACAACTTCTTTCTCTCTCTTCAAGACTGGTAAGTTGACTTTGGCTCTTCAAAACATTTAATTTAATTTTGAAAAAGCAAAACCTACCTTGAAAATGTTAAAAACATGCATTTTATATTTTTATATAATAATTACATAGACATTTTTCACATATTTTGATTCATTTTCATAACATTGCATTAATTGAATTGAAGAGTCTGTTGAAGCAAAAATTATTCAAGTAGCAAATAAATCTTTTCAAATTGTCACATAAGTCAACCAACTTTAATTTGAAAGTTCATAAAAACATTCTCAGAACTTGTGCTATAGAGTACAGTTGGAGGATTTTATTACTTCATAATGGAGTAATAATGAATGGAGGTCCTTGAACCTTTTTCAAAGTCCTCATTTGGTTTCTTAAACTCTCAAATTCATTAATGTGACCCTTATCTTTTGTTCTAAGCACTAATGTGTTCCATATTGTCGCATTCCATTAAATTTTTGGTTAAAATTGGTCATGTAAACAACTTTAAAGGGTATATTTATCCGAATATAGCTCATCCACAAAGGAGACAAAATAAAATTCATATTGCTTGCTCAATAAGGCATCTACTCTCCATTTTGGATTTAATCCTAGAATTCCATCAAGGAGATGATTGAGCATAATACATGATATTTATGTTTTCTTTTGGGTGGATATGTTGTATTTTGATGGAAAACACCTTTTAGAGTTGGTTGTGTGTCATTAAGTGACCAATTTTTTGACAAATGTGTTGATGGAATGTGACGAGATGTGCCAAATTGATGGGTGGACCAAAAGATTAAGGATCACATTGGTATTGTAATGATTCCAATTCTTCATTCTCCTATGTTTACTAATACATGGGTCTTGGAATGATTCCAATTTCTAATTTCTCATGCATTCATTAACACAAACGAATCAAACATTATATCGGTTCCACATTAAAATCCGTAGTCAAATACCCTAAACATCAATAATGAGATCAATTAGGGGATAGTAGTTGATCCAATTCCAATTCCAATTCCTTAATTACCTTATATACAAGTTTACTTAGAGAATCTACAATCATGCTCCCTAGTTTTTAGTTAAAATTTAGCTAAAAACACACACAAGTTATTTTAGGAGCTCTCTATAAAATTTGAACTCCAATCATACTTCATAGTTTAGGGAGTCTTAAATGCTATAATAATTTTTTAATTCAATATAATTGGTCCATCTCTATTAAAAAAAATAGGATTATTCGCAACAATGGTCCCTCAATTATACCCCAAGTTACACTTTGGTCACTCAACTCAAATATTAGTTACAGAGGTCACTCAATTAGGTGTTTTGTTGCACCGTTAGTCCTACCGTCAAGTCTCTCTAACGGTAGGGACTAATGGTGCAACACAACACCTACTTGAGTGACCAAAATGTAACTCCGAGTATAGTTGAGGGCTCATTGCTACAAATAATCTTAACTGAAAAGTCACATTTGCCCATCAATAATCTAAGAGATACTTGCCACATCATCATTTTAAATAGAAAAAGTAACAGACTTGACGGTAGGACTAACGGTGCAACAAAACACTTAATTGAGTGACCTCTGCAACTAATATTTGAGTTGAGTGACCAAAGTGTAACTTGGGGTATAGTTGAGTGACCATTGCTGCGAATAACCCAAAAAAATAATTAGCATTAATTAAAAGTTTAAAATATGCATAAAATAAAGTAGCACTAAATTATAAGGAGTCACTAGGAGTCCTTTTCTCTCCTTAGATTTACGAGTTCCTAGAAGTCTCTAGATTTTA